AGCTTGTATGCATGTTTGGTATATACTTTTTTAGAAGGCATTTTTGAAAGAGTTAACAAAATTTTCAAGTCATTTATAATTAGGATTTAAATTTTTGTGTCACAAATTTCAAAAAAAAATATTATTATTATTTATAATAGGTTGCATAATAAGAGTTAATCTCCTATCATCCTTTAACATAATTCACCTGCATATTATACTATTTAAATTTAAAAATCTCTTACTTTCACTAATAGAAAATTACAACTAAATTACTTAAATAACTAGCTAAGTAAATTTACTATTGATGGAATTGGTTACCATGAGATTTAATGAATATATAGTCAATTATATTTTTTAGATAAGCAACTATACTCTAGAGGAATCCACTTATATAAAATCTTGAAAATTTATCCCTTTATTTTCAATATTTGAGATTTATCAAAAAAATTTAAATAAAAAATAATTATTTTTAATAAATATAAATAAATTTCAACTATTTAAATTTGATAAATGAATAATTGAGATGTAATAAGTGTGATATATGAGATTTATATGTAAATAAATTCTCTTCATATATTCTAGAAATAAATCATCAAATAACGCCTTATCTATATTTATAAGATTTTTTGAGATTCTTTTTTCCTAAAGCTATTTTACACTTAATAGTTGCTTATAAATACACTGCCAAACAAGCCCTTAACTTGTACCCAAATAGAGCCTTATTGGTCATTTAAAGAATGAAATTTGTGGGTCAATGACTTAAGTAATTCATTAATTATCTTCTTTCATTAAAAATAAGATATTTTAAATTCGAATCACATGACATGCGGATGGAATAAAATAGAAAATAAAAGATGATTAACTCTTATTGTGTAACTAAGATAAAAATAAAAAAAAATTGAAATTCATGGAGTTTAAACACATGCTCATAAAAGATAATATCCACTTAAACTAAAAACTGTAGTGGAGTTTAAACACATGCTCATAAAAGAAAATATCACTTAAACTAAAAACTGTGGTGGAGTTTAAACACATGCTCATAAAAGAAAATATCACTTAAACTAAAAACTGTGGCCATTGTACTACAGCCTAGACTTCAATCAATTGGTTAAACCCAGATAAATAAATTATGTGTGTAACACATAAATTTTCATTTAAATTTACTTATCATTCATTTATTTTAATTGTCACAGTATTTGTATTTTACTCTTAATTAAAAAAAAAACTCATAAAATTAATCGCAGAGAGTAATTCATTGATTTCTGTCAGAAGCATACATGGGTCCTACCGTCCTGGTGGAACCCTTTTTACATTTTATTTTTATTTATTTGATTGTGCAAAGTATTACGTGTTAGACATCTATTGGTGAGTGAAACGCAGCAGTCATGTCAAGTGCTGACTGAACTACAGCTTTCTACACCTGGGGATCTGGCTTTTTCTAATGAGATGCATTTAAGGAGTTGGGAGTTGGGAGTGAATGTAAGGGGAAGTACAAAACAAACTGTAGCTGAGCTGAGGCATGGCCATCAAAATTAGTACATTTGTGACATGAATGTGGGAAAGGTGAAGTAAAAGATTACCAATTTTTCGTCTTGTAAGAGAAAGGGAAACTTGGAAAAGCCAACACTTCCCCCACTACATTAATTAGAAGACTTCATGCATGGCCGCAGGCAGCCCAACTTGATGCGTCAAAACTTTACTGTGCCTGGCGCCACTGCCTTTCATGAATCCCCATAACTATTGCTTCTTTTGTCTCCCAATTCCTTTCTCTTCTTTCACTTCTTTGTCAAGACTCATTTTTGACCACTTCTTACTCACTTTCCTTCCTTTTTGAATGTAGGATATGCCTCCTGGCCTGATGCTGGATGGGAAGAGATATATTATATATTTTTACTCAAATTTTTTGGGGTCCTTACAAAAATTTTTTTTTTAAAAATACTTTGTACCCAGCATGACATGGTGACAATTGGCCTCAAAACCGTTACACCGTTATGACTTAAATTTGAGACATTTTTCTGTTAAATAACTACGAAGATATGAGTCCATTTGATTTTTTTTTTTAAAGGATATTAGAATTCGTTAAGGAAAGGAGCATTTGTGGGGATGGTAGCATTGTTGAAGGATGGGTGTACTGTGTACAGATCATGAGTGAGTTCAGGTGAACGGGGCGGCTTAATTGTACGGAATTATAAGCAAATTAAGTTGAGATATCACATGCGCTCTCTGGAGGTAATAAGAATATCTTATGTACTCCTTGTAAGCAAATTAAGTATTTTTCAAAAAAAAAGAAACGAGAAAAAAAAGAAACTGGTACGCTAACAGTACAATTGGTTTTAAAGAAAAAGAGAGGTAAGAATTTATTTATTTAGTTAACAAAAATTTTGCAAGGGTGGGGACCAGAACGGAATTCTTTACTTTATTTTTCACTTTAATTAATTAATTAATTAATTAAAAAAATGGAAGAAAAGGAAAATAAAGGAAAATGAAAAGATGTTGTATCTCCATTCTCCCCCTATTTCCATCAAACCAATGTACTTTAATAGTTATTTTTGTATACGTGCCAAAAAAATTTTATGTAGACAGGCCATTTTTGGGGCCCAACCCATGACAACTTACAGGCAGGGGTTGCAGACTTTTGTCCTGAAAGTCAAGGTTTCTCCTTCAGTCCTTACAGTTGATGAGCTTGATAGGCAGGGGTTGGGTTCAAGCCAGGCTTTTACCCAATGTAAATGGGCTTTCTATCTTTTTCTCCCTTCCGACCCGTTAAGAATTTGTTAATTGTTGCCTTCCTTTAATAGAGGTGGATCAGAATTCAAACAATTCAGGTTTCAAAATTGAACCACAGTCCAATTCTTTTAATAATCAAATAAACGAAATTTTGTTTTTCTCCTCCTCTATTTTCCTTAATGTAAACACACGTTTAAGTGAATTGAAATTTTGATCTCTAGTTGGGTACGTAGAAAGAGTAGTACTACGTATATAGTAGTATAGAATGGCCCAAAAAGATAACTATAGTGTAGGATAGAGAATAAATGCCGCTAGGGCACATTAAAACTTTTGATACGCTCATAAATAATTTTGGACAAAAATTTCACACCATCTAAGTATGAGAGTGAGAAGTCAAACCTTGCCACTACAAATATATACAGTCCAAAAGGATCACAACTCTATCCAAAATCTCCAATCATACTCCACTATTGGTTGGCATGATATTGACAATGGAACAACATACATCACCTAGCTGCTGTTGCCCCTGATTGGTGACTGTTATCACGCACCGTGCGCAATAAATGGTGGCGACAACAAGAGTTTCAGAGCGCAAAACAAGGACACAGGGTGTTAGAGGGGAGTGAATTGAGGTTAGACTTAGACAGCTAATTGGGCCTGGGAGAGGGGGGTGAAAGTGAAATTAAGCAGGAATAATGAGGTTTTGTAGCAGGCCCTAAACTTTACAATGCACACGCGGCGTCGGCGTCGGCAGTGCGCGTAGGCTCACCAGATTCCGTATCCACCCGAGGAATATTTGGTGGTGGATATGGAATATTACCAATTAATCAATCAAAGGTTCGGTGGTTTCCACCATACCTACCCTGGAAACCGATGAGGTGAGCACTTACAATGCCCCCCAATTAGTGTCTTTTATCAATGTTACTGTTTACTTTCTAATTTACTCAATAATTTACTCAATTCCTTCTTTGCTAATCAAATCAACTTTAGTAATTATTTCAAATATAAATTTTAAATAAAAATTTAATATATTTTATAAGTAATAATTAAAAGTTTTTTATTAAATAAAAATATTTAATAAAAACCACATACAAAAAAAATTAATTGTTATTCATATTCTCTTTCTATTCTAAAATAATAGTTAATTTTTAATTTTTAATTTTTTTAAATTAATTGTCATTTTTTATTTTTTAAAGTAAGCAAATTATTTTTTTATTTTATCATTATTTATTTATTTTAATTAATTATTTTATTACAAAAAATCTTATTTTATCTTTTAACTTTTTTCTAAAGATAAAAATAATATAAGTAAATACATAAATGATTATAAAATCCTTAATATAAAGAAAAAAAATAACAATTGAAAATTTTTTTATCTAAAGGAAAATACTTAATAAGAATTATATATAAAAAATTAATTATTATTTATTTATTATAAAAAAATTATATGCTCAAATTTTATGCAAAATTTAAATTGGGATAACTAAGTCAAAGTTGAGGGGTAGTTATTAATTACTCACTATATCTCAAAATAACTATATTTTTTTAACTTTTTTTTTTTAAATTAAGAATTTTGAGACAATATTTATTTTTATTTATAATAATTTTTAAAAAATAAAAAACAAAAAAGATTTTTGTGATTAAATAATTAATTAAAATGAATATATAATAACAAGGTTAAAATAAAAAAATTAATTTAAGGTAAATTTAAAATTAAAGAATAAACATTATTTTAAAATAAAAAGTAAATATAAATACAAGAAATTTTAATTAATTATTTCCTCTCTATTTCATTAAAAAGAAAAATTAGACATATTAAAATTAAACAAAGAAAGTAATTTTTCCATTAGTAAAACCATTTTAAGAAATCAACTCAACTTATTACTGGAAAATTAAAAAGAAATTGGAAAAAAATGAAAAAGTGTGTTTTTTATTAAATCTAAAAATTATATTAAATTTTAATTAATTTAAAATCAATAAAAATCAAAACCAGGGAAACAAACTCTTTTAGTACCAACAAGTGATTTTTTTCTTAATTAATATCTCGATATTCAATAATTATATTAAATATTAATTAATTTAAAATTAAATTATATTAAATTTCATTTAAAAAAATACTATTAATATTTATTTTTTCATTCATAAAAATTAAATTTTAAATTTTATTTAAAAAAAATCAAATACCTTGCTCAAACAAGAAGTTGATAATACCATCAAGTGATTGATACAAGAAAGCGTGTTAATCTTATCTAAAGGCAAGACAAAGCCACAATGGTCCGCTGACGTCGTTTCCAGCCCAGACAAAAATCCCATTCCCACCCTCGAATATTCAATCAATAATCCCTTCCTCCCACTTATATATCCCCTCTCTCTCTCTCTCTCTAGCAACACACCCTCCAAACCCCCCACCCCCCCAAGATTCGCTTTGTTACGCGACGCCCCGACTTCGATATTTTCTCTCTTTCTTCTTATTCTTCTCCCTTAATTTTCTCTCTAATTCTGAATTTTGTTTTTTCCCTTGATCCCCAAGTTTATTCCTTCTCAGGTCCTGATTCTATTTAGATCCCTTGTTCTTACTTTCCCTACTCCCTTCCCTTCCCTTCCCTTTCCTTTCCCGTCTTCGAATCCATCTATGTTCCCTTCCAAATACCGCAGCGCCACCCACTGTAATTGCCATCGACCCATCAACCGTCTCCCTCATCTTTCTTCCCCAAAATGAGAATTTTTTAATTGCCAAAAGAGAAAACAGAGGACATGATAAACATGAATTATGCGCAGAAAATGAAGAGGTGTCACGAGTATGTTGAAGCATTAGAGGAAGAACGACGAAAGATTCAGGTCTTTGAGCGCGAGCTTCCCCTCTGTCTAGACCTTGTCACACAAGGTATATATAAGCAACATTTTTTTTTGTCTTTTGGTTAATAAATTCCTGGATTTTCCGGGGTTGCTGATTTTTTTTTTTTTTCTTCTTTTTAGCGATTGAGACATGTAGGAGAGAAATATCTGGTTCTACGACGGAGTACGTGCATGGAGGGCAATCTGATTGCTCGGAGCAGACATCCAGTGACGGGCCTATTTTGGCGGAATTTATTCCCATCAAAAGAACCTCTTCCTCTGATGAAGACGAGGAAGAATCACATAAAACAAAAAACAATAGCAATAACAACAATAAGGACAAGAATGGAGATAAGAAGAAATCCGACTGGCTTAAGTCTGTTCAGTTGTGGAATAATCAATCCACAGATCCACCGCCACAAGAGGTATCCAGGAGTGATCCTTTTTATTTTCGTTGCCTTTTGAATCTAAATTTGGAAGAAAGAAATAAGATAAATTACTAAATTTCCTGAGATTTGTTTGTTATTCCGTAGGATGCGGCTAAAAATGGGTCTGTAGTGGAGGTGAGGAGAAATGGGGGTGCGTTTCAACCGTTCCACAAAGAGAAAAATGATGAGAAGAGTGTTCCGCCAGTGGTGAAACCGACTGCCTCTATTCCGGCGTCGACTACAAGCTCTTCAACAGAGAATGGTGCTAAAGGGAGCAATCAAAATGTTAAAAAGGAAGAGAAAGAAACGCAGGCTCAGAGGAAGCAGAGGCGGTGCTGGTCACCGGAGTTGCACAGACGGTTCTTAGTTGCCCTTCAGGAACTTGGTGGTTCACACGGTGAGTTTAATTTCATGATCACATTTTGACTGTAATTAATTTTGGGTTCTGTTTTGATTCATTGAATTCGATTAAATTGTTCTTCTGCGCGTATTGATTTGTGGGTTTTAACTGGATTTGTTGCAGCTGCAACGCCAAAGCAAATTAGAGAGATTATGAAGGTTGACGGACTTACAAATGATGAAGTCAAGAGCCATTTGCAGGTTCGTTTTCTTTACCAATCATTCATTTCCCCAGAATTCAGTTGTTTGGATTGAAAGCCAAGAATTTGACTTTGTGTGTTTGGATAAGATTTCCATTCTGAAAAATACATCTGTTTGTGTGGAAATATTGCTGCTTAAATCCTAGCCTAATCAAGAAAGTGTATTGGATTTGGATTAGATACCCAACTCATAATAACAGACACAGAATAAATTAAAATGGAAAATGATTAAGCAACAATTTTTCTTTTT